AATTGAAGTCAAGCCTTCTTCCAGTCCTTCTACTCTTCTGTCAGAAATTTCAACCCTCCAGGGCAATCACCCAAAGCATGAAAGCGACGAAAGAGTTTCCTTGCGTTCCATTTCGAACTCAGGAGGTCCTTGGCATCCACTTGAAAGCAGGCACGGCATGGCATAGTATAAAGGACTTGGGTACTACCAGAAATGGGGGTACGCTGAGGACTGCTAAGTGGAGATTTCAAGAACACTCAGAAATCGTTCCTTTGCCCTTTTCGTGGAACCGTTTTGTTCCGGATTCCTCAAAAGGGCAACAGATTAGCCCCCATGCAGACGAATAGCCTACATAAGCGGTCGTTGAATGTTGGGCCCAAGGCGTTTCAATTGCAGTCACCCTCTTCGGTTATCCTGTGATAACCGCTATGCCATAGGGGGATAGAGAAGTGGAAAGGGTTGTGAAGCACATTTATAGAAGGATGAATAAGTTTTGACGATATGTAGATATTTACAGGGTCCCGTTACATTTCTTAGCTGGTCCAGAACCTCTATAGAGCTGTCAACGGATTTCCTTCGCTGTCATCTTTTTTTGGACGTTTTGCAGTCACGAGGGTGGTTCCCATAGGCATCAACGATGCGTGGGAACATACATTGTTATTGAATATTACTAATGAGTGGTGAAGTCGCCCACAAGACGTCCCGTGTCACTACTATACAAATGAGTAGTAGTGGCAAGGATCCAACCTCAGGGCATTCGACCTCGAGCTCATCCATTCGTGGAAAATTTGTTTGTACCCAAATTCCCCAACCTACATAACTGAATTACATGACGGATAATTTACCCAGGGAGTATTATGCTCAAGACCAAAACTATGTAGTAGCAAGCTTGTGACAAACATCAATATGGATGATAACTATGGACTTGTGGAATGGACTTGGCCTAGGTTCCCACATTAATCTCTCGAAGATTCGTGGAAAACCCTCTTTCTGGTATTCCGGTCCAGTCCTTCAGTTATTCCTAATAATAGCCATTCACGCTGCCACAAGATTATTTTTGGTTGCGAAAAAACCCGCCTGTCACATCCAGACACTTCCGTCGTAATGTTCTCAGCTGAAACTGAAACGCAATAGGATCGGGAAGTTATCGGACGAGTTACTCCTTCTAGTGAGACTTCTTTTTCATCTCTAAGGAGAGATAACTCGTCCATTGCAACTTAAACGGAAAGACTGCTCGTCCGTTCCTCTAGATTTCGGCGATTTCATGGTTTTCGTGATAATGCTCACAACACTACCAAAAGTCCTATGGTAATAACAGGAAGTGCATTTCAATTGGGCCCATTTCGCGAGTATTCGGCGATGTTCGAGGTGCAGCCGTGTGGGCGTGGGTGTAAGTGATGTGTATGTCGCCCTAATGGGATGACGTGGACATCAATTGTGACAGGCATACCTGAAAAACGAATGCATTCCTATTTAGATTTCGGCCTAGCATGCTCTTTAACGTCGGAATTGAATCACTACAGACCCTGGTTTTTGACGTGAGGAGTGGGCTCAAGAGCACCCATCCAGGAGCTATTTCTAACTGATGTATAGATATCCCTTGAGCGTGGGTACAAATTAGATTCTTGAGGCTCTAGGGGTAGCTATATATGGCAACTCGATCTATTGAATTGACTGTAGACTCTCACTCTGGGCGAAATATCAACAAAAGTCAAAACCCGTAAATATTCTAAAACAAAAACGGTGTAGGGAAACTAGCCAGTGACCATGGGAAGATCAGTTGGCTCGAGAAAATGGCGACTGCTCAGGACAGTCCGACAATCTGCATACGGTGAATGCTCATTTAAGAAAAATCGATATATCGATTTATTCGGACTGAGGGCACCAAGTTGTTTTTATTTACTGTTTTTATGTGAATACGGATTTATATATATTTTGTAATTTTCAGGCTGCACACTCAGTGACTCGCTATGTGAAGAAGACGAGTACTGCTTTCTGGGTAAGTACCACCTTGAAACTGTCGATATCGATCGATAATCGATCTCATCCTCACTGTTTTTATCAGTATTTTTTTTCAAATAGAAACGAATAGAGTCATACTAGTTCGTCACCAAATTACACTAAGGTCCGTGGGGAAATTATGGCTTATCGACTTTCAAAAAAACTTTATTTGATGAGTAATTTTCATTGAAAATTCCAGCTTTTGTTGTTTTTTTTTCTGGTAATTTCCTATTTTTGGCTTGTAAGCTGCGCACGTCATCGCACGCCCTTTGTGAATAGGCTTTTCAAGTGAGCTTCGGGAACAATGTGAGCTCAACTGAAGCACCTTCATTTCGAGCAAAAAATTTTGATTAAATTTGTTTACGCCTAGGGAATGGCGAAGTTTGACGATAGGATGCCTGCCGTTGAAAAACAGAATCAGCACATTGTTTTAACAAAAGTTCGTCGCCTATTTTCTTGGAAGTAAACAATTTCTTGGAGCGGGTTTACTTCATTTCTTACCCGAAAAAGCAGCGTCCTCTTAGATAGCCAACTGGGTGTTCGCCCGAATCAATTGTTCGGGAGTAGATGGCTCTAATTTTTGTAGCTTGATATAGCTTATGCCTTCGACTCTTACGAGTTTTTTTTTTAATTGTAAATTTCATAAAAATCTCATTGTCTCAAAAGTTTCGGCGGTATCGCCTTCGTGAGAGCCTGAAATGGATCAAAAACGATTTGTGGATATCCGATCAAGCTGTCTCCACGGCCCTACCGGTGTTCAAAGCCCCCAAGGCACGCACGTCATCTAAAAAAGGGCCACGGGCGGACTAGCGTGGCTTCGCAGATTCTCTCATGTGAAGGCTGTGCTTTTTTCTTAAGCTCTGTTCCTGCCTGAAAAATGGACAAAGCTGGCACCCAAGGCGTCGTCAGCTTGGGTTTATGGTATGGCTCTTATAAGTGGGAAAAGGTTCTGCACCCATTAAGAATTTCCTACTAGATGAACAAGTAACAGGACTAGGGATTGAAAGACAATCTGCCTTCTGAGCTCGGCGCCCTGGTGATTTAGGCACGACTCATCGCTGCCCTGCTCTTGTTATGGGAAGATCATATTTCTTCTATAGCTACTGGATGCTACTATTTGTTACTTCGTTAGAAAACACTTTGTGAACAGAATAGATTACATTTCCTCTATAATGAGGTAATTTTAAAGTAGATCTTACAGTGGGGAGGTATTGACACGATGTTTGTTTGTTTGGTAGCTTTATTTGTTAAAGTAAACAGAATTGATGGAAGGTTGATGTCTAACGTAAATGCCCAAAGTGAAAGGGGAAAACGGCCCGATCGAAAAAAAGGGAATAAGGGGGCAAGAAACGTGTAGGCTGGGATTATTTATCTTGATTATCCAGGAAGGCTTTTTCTACTGTGAAATAGACCACTCCACGAAATCATGGTCTACGATTCAAAAATCATAGGGAAGCTACAGTCCTGGTCTTGCTGACAGCTTAACCCGCCCGTTACAAACGAACTGGTCCGGGACTCCAGGAATGTCCCAAAACAATTCAGCTATTTAAAAGGATCATTACTATATATAAAGCTCTGTCGTCTGTTTGTACGGAAATTCGATATAACCTGAAGAAACACCTGGAGAAGTCGGGTCAAGTTCTCAATGGGTTGAGCATAGAGTAGGTGCAACAGAACACATGTGAGCCAAGCGGAGCTTCGCCCCCAAGGGGCGGGGCATGCGCCGACGCTGGATGGGTCCATGGACAAATTCTTCTCATTTGGCCTCATAACAGCCCAGAGCCGGGAAAAAATGTGCAAAGGTAAGGGACGGGTTAACAATTAAAATAAAGTAAACTTGTTTACTTACATGGAGGGTGAAAGAGAAAGTTTCCATGAATTTTTTCATTCTGTTTCTTTGTTCTTCTCATGGTTTTCTTACAGCATAGATGGAAAAACATAACGATGATGATTTTAATTGTCACTTTATCATTTTTACTATTTTATTTTTTATCCATTCTAAATTTAATCAATAATGATCTTTCCGTTCAGTTCTTTATGGGCGGGGCCTGTAAGGTGAGCTCATAAGAGAGCTGAACGAAAACCATGTTTATTGATCGAAGAAATTTTCATTAGTTTTTTTAAAAACTTCTTTTCCAGTTTTTTCATTAGTTTTTTAAGAAGTTTTTCACAAGTCTCTGGATCTATAGTACCAACAGCTGATGACGTTTTATTAAAGGAAGCTATTATGGAATCAATCCTAAGAATTATAATGGATATGCTGACAAAATCTGTAATGACGGAAGGGAACGAATAGCAATTTATTAACAGTAATTGAAATGAATTCATCATGATGAAGTACAAGGAATATTATGAACAGTTCATTCATATTTAACTCACGACAACAGCATTTCCCTGAGTACATTCGATTCTCGCTTTTGTGCTTTTCAAAAGGGGCCGCAGAGGTCGTCTATTAAAGGCACTGTTCACGAAAAAATGGTTTCGGAGATTTGCACGTGGTTTGAATTCGACGCCCCTCTGATGCCATTTGTGCAGGAATGAGGTCGGCAATGGTCTGGATAGGGCACAGTAAGGGGCCGGAGAGTTACCCACGGTCGCCCTCCGCCCCTCGCTAGGCTGACTGCGAAATCTAATTGCCGTACACCACTTTCGCATTGGAGCGAAGTTGGTGAAAAATCGATAAGCTGGTTGGCAAAT